CCCCAAAACCCCAAAACCCCAAAACCCCAAAACCCCAAAACCCCATACCTTCGAACAAGAATTGACCAATAACATATTACTTATAAATCAATAATTGGAAATTATCCTTTGATCTTATCTTTGATGAACAGTGCGAAGCTGGCTATCGATACAGCAATGATGAAGATGAGCACCATCCATCAGCAAAACTTCTTCCAAGTAGGAATATTCTCAACAATCTTGAGGTAAAATACAATTGGCAGAATGAACCCAATCAGTGGGTTTGTCGTACATCCCAGAATTGTAATCACGTCACCAATTCCTGGGATTACAATAGCGCACACATAGCAAATTATGCACATTATAATAGTGGTGATCACATTCCATTTCATGGTCATTTTACCATTAGCAAAGACTATCTCTTCAAAGGCATCCTTAGCTGGCAACACACATACAGGGGCTGCTGCAAATATAGCAAAAACTAAACCAATGATTGCTACCTTGAAAGCTGCGCTGGGATAGAGGACTTCGAGTATATTATTCTTCTCAGCTAGAGTAGCCAACATATCATCGTTACCAACGAGGCCAAGGTATCCAAACGAAGCTGCCAAGATATACAAAACAACAACAAATGAAGACCCAATGGTGACAATTTTGTTCATCTTTCCATAAGTCTTAGTAGTTAGCTCTCTGTAAATAATCGGAATATTTGGCTGATACATGAAGGCAAACACCACAAATGGGATAGCATCTACCATTCCGTCTAATGTTACATTGAAGTATCTAGCCTTTTTGAATGCTTCTCCAATATCAGGCACGAGTGTTCTGTCAAAGAAGAACATGAACACGATACACATGACAAGATAAAAACTGCAACAGACTCCAAACATAGAGTTGAACCTCAAAGCTCCGATCTTCCTAGGCATGGACAGAGGTGTAAGAATCAGGAATGTGTAAATAGTAGCCCAGAAGATCTGGCCTGTATATCTTCCATTGCTTAAAATTCCAGGAATATTTTTCTCTCCAAAAAGTACTATCAAGATATGTGGAATCAAAGTCTTCAAGAAAACAATATAGGAGACCACAAATCCAAGTAATGTTGATACATTAGACCATCCTGTAACAAGAACCATTTTCCTACCAAAACAGAATGCTGCCATGTCTTCGTATTTGTCTGATCCTACCTTGGCTGCACAACTGACAAGTAACATTCCACAAAAGTATGATAGGATAGCTCCGAATATGATCAAAATAGCTGCCATTGCGATCCCATTATTGTAAGCCAAGTATGGCAAGGTAATAGTACCAGATCCCAAGATTGCAGTGATCAGAGAGAAGATTGAACCATTAACACCTCCTTGTTTGAATTGCTTTCCAACAAACTTAATCGGGCTTGAAAGTGCATAACATCATGTATTAGGTGGTGCAACCTCTCCACTTTCCTCATATTTATCTGATCTGAAGTGACCTGGGGTATCTTCAGCTGTCTCTTCTAAGTCTTCGCTCAAAAGCATTGCTGAGGATTCTGATTTATTTACTCCAGCATAATCTAGATAGGTATGTTAGTCAACCAAAGGTGATGTTACAAGCGGGCATGAGCCGATCATGTACAAAACATGGATACTAAAATTGATCTAATTTAATCTGTTCTGAACTTAGCGTCACAGACCACAAGAATAATAATTATAAATAATGCCGTGTTTCTAGGGGTTCTAATGCTCAATGTACATATCTTCAGAAGTTTTGTGCTGTAAAATGAATTGCTATGCTACTTTCTGATAAATCGATTCAGATCCAATCTCCAAATTTTGAACCAAATTAGCATGGAGATCTCAAATTAGAGAGTCTCGTTCGATCTGACAGCATATTCCCTCAGCTTCAGAGTAGAGAACTTAGAGTCAAGAGATGCTTCCAAAGATATCTCATTCTTTTAGAACACCAGGAAGGGAGACTTACCACTGCTAAATTTCTTCTTGACACTCATTTATTTAAAATATTTTATGATTCGGTCAATTTGTTGCCCTTAATAGGGGTTTTGGGGTTTTGGGGTTTTGGGGTTTTGGGG